GTGTACAAGCATATTCAACAAAAGAAACAGGAGTAATAACTGTTCATGTTAATGTCAATATAGGGCCATTCCATTTAATATCCCACTCGGGGTGGGATATTAAATGGAATGGCCCTATACTGACATTAACATGAACAGTTATGACTCCTGTTTCTTTTGTTGAATATGGTTGTACACAACTTAGTCAGGTTGTTAGTGCTGTCCTTCAAACTCCTCTGTTCAACTACATGTACTTTTCAATTTTCTTTCTTTAAGATTGTATTGTCAAACCCTGGAACATTCTATGTAAGAGAAGTCTGACATATTTTCCAGTCCTATTTCTTTCAAAAAATGCAAATTGCGTGCCTGTCTGTGCTCATGTACTTTTATGTTCATCGTCATTTCTGTCTATGTGTCTGTTTACTTCTACCGTGTGTGTATTGTATGTTTATATTTTGTGCACTTAGTCCACATGTCTTTTTCTTCATTCTCTTCTTCCTTCTCTTCTTTTAATTTGTATATGTTGAATATGTTAGTTTGTAAACTTGAAATAGTTTTTGTACAGTCAGTTTTTGAAGTGTTGTAGTCTCAATTTTTGAAATGAAATAAATCGTACATACAGTGTTTCTTTGTATGGGTACCAGCGCTGTCCAGAGAATTTGTGGGGCCCAGGACAAATCTTCCCTGGGGGCCCCATTAAATAATTATTTCTAATTAGCTAGACCCAACTAGACCTTAACTAGACTGCATGTGGATGTATTGTAAGAGGCCCTCAATTTCAAAAATTCTCTGACCAATTTAATTAAAGAACCTACTCAATTTTAGCCTTTCACTCTCAAGTTGGGGCCCTATTAAGGTGGAGCCCAGGGCAATTCGGCCAATTCCCCCCCCCACCTCCCCCCTCTTGGTTGCCCTGATGGGTACATGTAAATGTATTTTAAGCCAAATGAAAATAATTTTGTATTTAGTTTTCAGATATATTTGAGGTTTCAGTATTTGCCTGTGGATCCAAAGCAGCACTTTCCTTGCGATAGTAACCCCTAGTTGTATAAAAAGAGCTGTAAGTTGTAAATGTATTCAGATCAGTAGAGAATAGAATTGGGATTAGATTAATTGCTGGAAGTAGTTAGCAATTCCCAATTTAAGTACTGCTACTAAATTCTAACCAAATTGCAAATCTTCCCCCCAAAGTCCAGGAAATGGCATTTCAGAGACTCTAAATTCAAACATTTTCCTGGGGGCATGTCCCCGCCCCCTAGACAAACCTCGCACCTGCAGCGCTCAGCTCGTGCCTTCGGCCCTCGTTTATCAAGCGTCACATTATAGGGCGCATATTGGTTGCCAGCCCACTGCCCCCCCCCCAGAAAAATAGTACCCAGCACGCCACTGTGTTGCGGAATATATTATTTTGCGAAATATGTTAACACATATGCCTCGCTTTGAACGCGGTTACGTTTAAAAGAGAAATGAGTGCGCGGTTTGCGGTTAAAATTTGAAAAACAGCGCGGTTTTCGGAGATGCGTACCCCCTATAATAGGCCCCCTAACTAGAATTACAAATTGTAAGTGAAATGCTGCGAGCAAATACCGGAAGTTTCTGTGTCTTCCACAGTCGTCTCTTGGGTAGTTGGGCAGTCTTCAGGATAGTGATGAGGGCCACTAACGAGGGCCACTAACGAGGGCCACTAACGAGGGCCACTAACGAGGGCCACTAACGAGGGCCACTAACTAGGGCCACTAACGAGGGCCACTAACGAGGGCCACTAACGAGGGCCACTAACGAGGGCCACTAACGAGGGCCACTAACGAGGGCCACTAACGAGGGCCACTAACGAGGGCCACTAACGAGGGCCACTAACGAGGGCCACTAACGAGGGCCACTAACGAGGGCCACTAACGAGGGCCACTAACGAGGGCCACTAACGAGGGCCACTAACGAGGGCCACTAACGAGGGCCACTAACGAGGGCCACTAACGAGGGCCACTAATGAGGGCCACTAATGAGGGCCACTAATGAGGGCCACTAATGAGGGCCACTAATGAGGGCCACTAATGAGGGCCATTGTGAGGGCCACTGCAGGGCTGCAAATAAATATTTGACTTGACAGGACATTTGTCCGATCACTTTTAATTTTGGTCGGACATAACTTGAATTTAGTCGGACAAAACCAACGTACATCACTAAATTTGGTCGGACATATATACGTCACAAGATATATATAAGTCACGACTCACGAGACAAGTATGTATAGCCATTCCAGCGCAACGTTAAGTAAAATGCTAGAATGCCTTATTGCAAAATACAAATTTGCAATCGGATTTTGTCACAGCAAAAAAATGTATGTGACAATTTTTTTTTGTGATCGGACCAATGTCCGATCAAAATTACTTTTGCTCGGACATTTGCCAAATTTAGTCGGACATTGTCCGATGTCCGACAGTAATTTGCAGCCCTGCCACTGTGAGGGCCACTAATGAGGCCACTGTGAAGGCCACTAGTGTGAGGCCACTAATGAGGGCCACTGTGATGGCCATTTAAATGAGGGCCACTGTGAGGGCCACTAATGAGGGCCACTAATGAGGGCCACTGTGAGGGCCACTAATGAGGGCCACTGTGAGGGCCACTAATGAGGGCCACTAATGAGGGCCACTAATTATCAGTAGCTCACACTTACTGTAATGTGTTACCCTTGGTAAATAAAGTCAATGAAATGAAATGAAAGTAATTGCATGTCTTAAAGTTCTATAAATTCGCATTAACTGGGTATGAATTTATTATGATTTGGATCAGGCATGTACCAGTGTACCACAAACATTTCGTGAATGAGAATCAAACAGATAAATACAATCTTTTATTAAAGCCATATTAATATAGCCTTCTAATATTATAAATGCATAAGTATTGCTTGAAAAAGCATTCATCAAAGTTGAACATAAAGTATAGTACAAGCTGTGATTGTTGTGCTTGTCGAACGCATTAATAGTTCTCCTTTCATAAAACTCTTTGTAATCTACTAACCATAAAGGTGCGTTGTTTCACGAGTTTTGATCTACCACCAGTAGATCAGAATTAGTTACCCTGATAAGCGACTCAACATCCGCCCTTTTCGATTCAGCCCAAATACCGTCGCTTGCAACCAAGGTAAAAACATTGCCTATTTGTGTGAGAATCTTCAATGTTTGTCAAGAACACTTGACAGGTTTTATAAATCTGATCAGCCAATCACGTTTAACCGGCTCCAAGCTGATTACATGATCATCACAAACATTGAAGTTTCTCGGTAAAAACATTGTACTTTGTCATGAGAATAGACAATGTTTTATCTACGACTGTTCATCCTTTAATAATAGTTGCAAGCGACGGCATTGAAGCGAATCGTTTGTTTGTCTAGTATAAATTTGCATAGTGTTTGCGTCAAGACAGAGTCAGGGCGTCAAAAGACCATCGCATCTCACGGGACAGGTAGTCCTGCAGGGACAACGTGTCTGTGTCAGAGATGGATCTACTTTCAAAAGCATCGAGATATAAAAGTCGATCTCCCTCAGCAAGAATCTGATCTACGTTAGATGCGGTCCACTGTTGGATCGGCAAAGTCTGAGCAAATAATAACGCTGAAAAACTCATAAAAGAACATTGTCTTCCGCGTGAAATGTCACTATAAAACCGTTCGCTACCTTGATGAATGCTTCCAGCAACAAATAAATTTAAATTTGACATGATTTCAATAAAAAAACTTACCTAGTTCTTGCCTTCTAGCTACAACTTTTCGAACGTAAACATGCTTAAGTCATTTGAAACCACGGGCCCCCCACCCCCGGGACATAGCGGGGAATTTAACACTGACCAAGTGTTAAAAAACATTAATTCCCCCGCCCCTGGGGCAAACAGTTCTGTTAAAACCCCCGCACAGCCAGGCTTCAGTATATCTAAACTATAAATACAAGACAAATTCCGCATCATGCATGCATTTGAGTTACCGGTCTTCCGCAACTTCCAGATTGAATTTCCGTCAAGTATTCGAGGTCGGTGTTTAAATACTGTATATAATTATATAGCTATCAACTAGGTTACCCACAGGGCAGTAATGCTGCCTTTGACAGCAAAAGACAAACTACAGGGTGTTGAACGAGTCCTTCAGAAACATCCTATTATTGTTATCCTTGTTAACCCATTTATTGACAGTACCCTACCACTGACTGAGTATTAAAAATCGTCTGGCGTTGGACAGGGTAAATACTAAAGTAGGGGCCATTACTGTGTTGATGAATTAACAAGAGCCATTGGCAGATTGTTATCCCATATCCTTGTTAACCCATTTACTGGCAGTACCCTATACCACTGACGAGTAAAATCTTCTGGCGTTGGACAAGGGAAGGGCTCATTGCCAGCTAATGGGTTAAACCACCGTGGTTAAACATAAGATTTCATGATGCTCCAGGAAATGTAAACAAGCTATCAGTGTGACATCCCAGTTTATATATTTATATACACGGAATATTGATTTATCGGTATAAAATTATATATATATCGGTATATAGTTATATATATTATATTTATCGGTACAAAATTATTTTAAAGTATAACAACCAGCGAAGACGTAAGCCACCAACTACCCTGCGCGGCTGCGCGCAGACTATATAATGACATATATATGTCATCCGTCCGGTCCGTCCGTCGCCATCCGTCCGTCCGTCCGTCATTCATCCGTCCGTCCGTACCCGCGTTTTATCCTAACCCGTTTTTAAAACACAAAGTTTGCATAATTAATTAAGGCAATGCGGTTCGTCATGATCAACATTTTCAAAAGCGGCCAATTAGACCAGGGGTTAAAGGGCAATGACAATGACATGCAGGTGACATTTAACATTGCATCTCACTAATTAAAATTTGCGTGTTTAATAATGTTTATCAAAGAAAGCAAAAATGTATACAAGACAATCTCACATGTGGAATTTTTTCACTTACGTACTGCCTTGTGATGCAGTACAAGTATAAATACAAATAACAAAGCATTTGTAAATTCTAAAACATAATTAACAAATCATACGGCACATTTAAGATTTTAATATCGTATTTCAGCCGCGTTTATACTGTTTGGCGCATTCGCTGCGTTATATTCATTTATATACACAGAAAAGCATGTCATTGTCCATGCAGACAATAGGCAAAAAGCATTTGTCAACCACATACCAAATTTAAGCAATTGTTAAATCATATACATGTCATGGAAAGAATATGGAAATAATGTTGAATGAAAGCTAGCATCGCGTATAATATTAAAAGCACCGCATATAGTGCTCGAACCACTGCGTATAATTGCAAAAGCACCGCGTGTATAAATGGTGAAAGCACCGCGTATAATACTGGAACCACCGCGTATAATGGCGAAAGCACCTTGTATAATGCCGAAAGCACCGCCGTATAATGCTAAAAGCACCCAACAAAATCCCGTTTGATCACTCTAAGCCAGCTATGGCTTTCCATAAAAGAAGACCAAAGATGAAAGATGATCACATCGCCTTGCCTTACGCCTGACCGCGCTGCACCACGGTTAAAATTCACTGGTACCGTCATGCAATGCGTCAAATAGAAAATTTTGATTTCGACCCACAAAACAAAATTAGGATCTGCTGCCTTGCTCGCTCGCTTCAGGCTCGCTCGCTGCGGCAGCAATTACATGGCCCTACAGATTAGTCACCAAACCGTTAAGCTGCCCGTGTTTTCTCTTACGCGCAGTGCATTTTACTATATTATTCTAACAATGGAAAGGCGATGCCTGATGCTTATTGAATATTAACAGCAACGGATGGCTGACAGGCTGACGATTAAGTATAAAATATAAAGTTTCAAACGCACGTAACTGTTGAACAAGTTTTTCGCCAGACCCGGTTATCCCCGGTGTATTCATATATAGTGGCTGTTATATCCCGGGTCAATTCCCCGGTTATAAAAACATTTAGTTAATTCCACCGCCCTCCGGGGCATAGCATGTTGTTAAATAGCGTTAAATCCCCGCTAAATTTTGTTAATCCCCCGCTATGTCCCGGGGGTGGGGGGTCCGTGGTTTCAAATGACTGAAGCATAAACACATGCAACATACAGCAATTTGCATCCAAGTACAAACCGCAAACATTTTCGCGCGTTTTTTTACGTTTGAAACGGGGCGTTTACCGTTGGAAACTGAAATCTATTCACCGCTCATGTGACGGCATGTGCTAAAACCTAGCCTGCGTAGCAGGCGTTTAGTGCGGGCGGGAGAAGAAAGGGCGTCGTTAAATAAACGCCTGCCCAAATGCCTATGATTAATTTGTTCTTCTCCGAAGAATCTTCGGAAAAGCTTCCCATTGGTTAATCTCGTTAACGGAAGTAATTACGTAACTCAAATGTCAACAATAATTTTGCTCGCGTTGACGCGTTTATGGTCGCGTATCAAAAATATGCCGCCTGTTACGATCGTGACTAAAACACCACACGAGTACATACGAGTAACATACGAGTAACATACGAGTAAAACACAAGTACATACGAGTACATACGAGTAGAATACGAGTAAAATACGACTAGGAAACTTGTTTTTAGTGTTTGTAGATTGAATACAGGCAAAAAGATCGTCTTCTCTGTCGAAAAACGTGGAATGGGGGAATGGGGGAACGGGCAATGGGGGAATGGAGGAACGGGGAATGCGGGAACGGGGAATGGGGGAAGGGGTAACGGGTGGGGGGATAGGGGAATCGAGGAATTATGAATTATTATTAATACGTAATATTAATCATATGTACGGGGGGGGGGGGAAAAAACAGAAAAAAGAAACAGAAATTCGACAGAATAAACGGGAATCTGGGAATTACGAAACTATAAAACGGACTCTGGTGTCTTAGGAATTAGAAAACATCGCAATGAATTAAAACTAGTAAAGAAATTTAGCGAAGCTTTCCTTTATTAGTAGAGCGTATCATAAAAAAGTCAATCCACAATGCTTATGTCCGATCATTAAGTAATATTAATAATAATAACATTGCTTATGTCATTACTAATATACTTGCTATATAATAAAACAAACTTAAGGACTAGATGCAAGCCCAAGGCAGTCCTTATGCTCCATATGATATCTTAAAGTGATTATCCTATTTTAAATATCTTACAAAGCAAACTAACAAAACACAAAATACTTCAAAATACGCAGATTTTAAGTTAGCAATTTAAGTTGGCAAGTACGTTTCTAAAGGACCCAGCCGAACTCTCCTGCAAGCCTTTGGACGTGCTCCACCTTGAAAAGGGGAGGAAAGTCTGGAGAAACGAGAACGTCGCCAAGAAAGCTTGGATACTTTGCTCTGATGCAGGCTGATCGGAAATGAAAATGCACGTTCTGAGGCTCACTTGAAAATTGGATTTGTCCTGCAGGGCCTTTTTTAACATACAAGCTGGGGGGGGGGCATTTGCCCCCCAGTCCCACCTTGTGCCCCCCCCCACGAAATCACATTTTTCCCCCCTTCCGGGGGAGTTAATACCCCCAGACCCCCTATTCATTCGCAGTATGTCGGCCACACACGTGACCCATGGCCATTGCTATCCCCCTTTAATAATAAGTAATGGATAAATTATTGTTAATATTTCTTTTATTTTTTCTGCATTTTTTCCTTCCTTTATTTCAAATACAAGTATAATTAGCATACATTTTAGAGCAAATTTAGATGCTCATAAAGCAGGAAATGTCATTTGAAAGGTTCAAATTTAAAACATTTTCTGGGGGAGTATGTCGGCCACACACGTGGCCGTCGGCATTGCTATCCCCCTCTAATATATTATCTAAGGTCCCTTTTCAAAAAATACCCCCCACGGGAAAATCCTTAAAAAAGGCCCTGTTGTCCTATATTTCGGTCTCGGAACTGTCGTATGTCGCGGTATACGTTAACTGTGTAGTTCGTATATTTGCCTAGCCACATGTTGTGATTGAGGCTATGTGAGGATTTGAATTTTCTATTAGTAGGCTATCACTAATAGCCTACTAGTAGCGTAGCCAATCAAAAGGCACGATATGTGATAGCCTACTAGTAGATTTATACTAATTAAGTATAGATGCACTTAGGTTATGTGCATGCTCACAGGGTTTTGAAAGCAAACCATGCCGTGAAATATGTGAAGCCTATGGTTTGTGTCATGTATCTAACTATCTAGGTAGAATACCTAAAAGTAGATGTTATACAAACTACAAAGTTGTGGTTTATAGAATCTGGCAGACCTCCCCCGCCCCCCGTCTCCTATTTCCTCTCTCCTCCCCCCTCCCCCCACCATTCCCTCCGTTCCCCATTCCCCGTTCCCCCACTTCCCGTTCTCCCATTCCCCCATTCTCCGTCCCCCCATTCCCCGTTCCCCGATTCCCCGTTCCGGGTTTTAAAGATAGCCAGTTTCAGTCTATTTCACGTTTTTCGACAGAGAAGACGATCTTTTTGCCTGTATTCAATCTACAAACACTAAAAACAAGTTTACTAGTCGTATTTTACTCGTATTCTACTCGTATGTACTCGTATGTACTTGTGTTTTACTCGTACGTACTCGTGTGTTACTCGTATGTTACTCGTATGTACTCGTGTGTTACTCGTATGTACTCGTATGTAACTGTGTGTTACTCGTATGTTACTCGTAGGTACTCGTGTGGTGTTTTAGTCATAATCGCCTGTTACAGTGAAAATACAAAAAGTGTCCCACTTCCGCTTCTG